AGGGATGCCCCCGTGAGACCGATTCTCACATTTCGTCTGGAGGCCCCTTGTTTGGCCTCCTGGTCAGCTGGGCCCCTGCTCCGCCTCCCTTACGGGTGTGACTGCTGGCGTTGGGTACTTCAGCAGTGCCTGGCACTGTGTACCATGTGTGCCAAGTCATGGCGTGTGGCATATTTTGGCCTGATACTGGGAGAACGTGTTCGTGGAGCAGGAATTGGCCCCCTCTGGGAGTGAGGGCCTTGACTTTGTCTACAGGCTTTGACTTTTCTGGCCTGGGGAGGTGTTTGAATCAGGTCAGAGTTCAGTATCCTGCAGAAAGTGGTGAGCGAGCTACTCCTGTAGGCGGCTGCAGATTAACTGGGACACGGCAGTGACAGCTGGTGCCGGAATCCTCGGTGGCAGTGCCCAGACATGCTGCTACCCCGAGAGTAGGTGAGAGGGGTGCATTAAGGCACTTAGTGCTGTTTTTAGCTTGTTTTGAGGTCATTCTAGCAGTTCTCATTCACTTTTGGCCAAACAGCTTTTCCTTCTTTCATTGCTTTACGGCCCAGGTCATGCAGCCCTGGGTTCTGCCGTACAGCTTGTGAAAAGGTTTTCCAGCTCATTTTGCCCTTACTGCCTTGCTCCCCTCCCTATGCAGAGCTTCAGCTTATTTCCCCTTAAAAATTTCAGTGAGAATTCGATAGGGATGTCAGAAGATGTGGCTGAAATCATTAATTGAACCAGAAGTCTAGAATGGCATTTGGACTACAGTAGTTGGGGACATTGTGCAAGGCAGTGGTACAGCTCTTGTGACCTGCAGAGAAGAGTTTCTGTGTTAGTGAGCGTTCTGTCCCAGTGAAGCTGTGCCTGAGAACAGCAGCTTACGAGGAAGAAAGGTTTAAACTTGGGCTCACGGCTTTAGAGGTTTAGTCCATTGTGTTTTGGCCCGGTTACTTTTGGACTTTGGTTGTACATCATGGTGGATATGTAACATCATAAAGGAGGCCTGTTAACCTCACCGGGGCTGGAAATAGGAGGAATGCAGAGACACAGACACACACACACAAAGGGGGCCAGGGTTCCAGTATCCCCCTCATAGACATGCCCCCTCAAACCTATCTTCCTCAACTAGGCCCTACTTACTAAAGTTTCCCCTACCCTCCTGATAATGCTGACATACTGACATATATATGGGCCTTTGAGGAATATTCCAGGTCCTAATTCATGCCAGCACTCTGGGAGGCTGAGGCAGGAGGATCACAAGTTCAGGCCTAAGCCTGGACAGTTTAGCAAAACCCTGCCTCAAAATTAAAAAACAAACTGTGTGGCAAGCTCAAGGTCCCGAGTTCAATTCCCAGTACCAAAATAAAAACAAAATCAAAAGGGGGGCTGGAGATGCAGCTCAGTGTGAAGGCCCTGGGTTTGCTTCCCAGTACCAAATAAAAAAAAAGGAGTAGAGGACAAGAAAGAGAAGGAAAAGAAAAGAACACCCTTCCTTCAGGTTCACCGGTTACCATATCTTGATTTTCTGAAGAGGTTGTTGGTTAGTAGTAATGTAGAGCATAGCAGAGGGAAAGTTGTGAAAGCACTTTCTTTGTGAAATTACAGACGGAGAAATCCGAAGGAGGGAATACTCAGTTATTGTGCATGACAATCTAGACTTTTTGCATAACGTTTCTAGATTTGGGACGAATGTGTTTCAGTAAGGGTGTAAAACAACAGGGAAGTGACTATTTTAAGAACTGAAAGTTAAGCTTTTAGAGAGGACTTTTCTCAAAACATGAGATGTGCAACTCCCTGTCAAGGGAACTGGGAAGGGAGAGGTTTGGATCTTGCTCCAAGCCTGTTGAATTAGAACAGGATCCTCTGCATAGGATATTCCCTGCGGGTCCCCCCTGGGGAGTGACATTGCCACTGCGCCCCGTGAGATTCTGCCCTGCTCCAGGTTGGGAACCGCTGCTTCCTCAATTGCGTTGCTGTCCCCTGCAAACCTTAGTTGTTCTGTGGTTTTGCTTAAATTGCCCTCTGATGTAAACGGCCAAACCCCCAGCTGCACAGCTCATTTCTGCCCGCTGTGTTTTTGTTTTTGTTTTTTTGTCTTTTTGAGACAGGGTCTTACTATGCAGTTCAGGCTGGCCTTGAGCTCACTTTGTAGCCCAGGCTGGTCTCAAACTCACAACGATCCTCCTGCCTCAGCCTCCCAAGTGCTGGGATTAC